TTTCACAGGGAATAAGGTCACACTAATCTATGCATTTCATCCAGAGGACAAAGTAGCTAAGAGACCCAGAATAGAATACAGAGGCAACACATATACTCTCTCTGTCCTTGGAGACCAAGATGTTTAAATAGTGCTGAAAACTACCCATGAACCTTGTCAAGGTCTCACTACCAGAGACTCAGAAGGTTGTGGGGCCCACATGGGTCGAGGGGAGGAGAACATGGGAACTTCCCATGTAACTTGCCTGACTCCATGGATGTTCTTAATAGCATAGCTGATCTCTCGCCGTAGATCTTTCTCATCAAACTCCATCTGAGAGAAAACAAGCAAATACATGGAATGAATTCCCAGGGTCACACCAAGCATAAGCAGATTCTGGGACAGTTTGTTCTATTTATGACTATACTTCACAAAGATGACCTAGCAGCTCCATGTTAAAAACAACTGAAGGTGGGCTGGAGAGATGGCTCAGTGGTTAAGAGCACTGCCTACTCTTCCAGAGGTCCTGAGTTCAATTCCCGGCAACCACATGGTGGCTCACAACCATCTGTAAAGAGGTCTGGTGTCCTCTTCTGGCCAGCAGACATGCACACAGACAGAATATTGTATACATAATAAATAAATAAATATTTAAAAAAAAAACTGAAGGTCATAGAAATGGCTCAGTAAGTAAGGGTGCCTGCCACTAAGCCGATGATCTGGGTGCATCCCCAGAATCCATGTAGTGGAAGAACCAATGCCTGAAAGTTGTTTTCTGACCTCCACACACTAAGTAAATAGATACAACACCTTACACTTACACACACACACACACACACACACACACACACACACACACACACACACCTGGGTGTATTGGGCTGCAGAGATGGCTCAGCACTCACTGGCTGCTTTTGCAAAGGACCAGCACCCACATAATGACTTACAACTATCCATAACTCCAGTTTCATGGGATTCGGGGCCCTCTTCTGGCTTCTATGGGCTATTACATATGTACATGGTATACTTGCACACATCAGGAAAAACACTCATAAACAAAAGAAAGTCTTTCCAGTCAGCAGGCTTAGCCTGCTGGTTAAGTTCTAGGCTGGTGAGAGATCCTGTCTCAGGAAAAGTATGGCTGGACCAGAACTGTAGCTCTGTGAGTATTGGCCACAGTTGCATTAACCCCAAATACAGAATAAACTAGATGTGGTAATACGTGGCTTTACTCCTAGCACAGGAGGATCATGACTGACTACACAGAGCTTGAGGTCAACTTAGGCTACAATGAGACCTTGCATTAAATATCAAGAGTGCTAGCCAGGCAGTGGTGCACACCTTTAATCCCAGCATTCAAGAGGCAGAGGCAAGCGAATCTCTGTGAGTATGAGGCCAGCCTAGTCTACAGAGCGAGTTCCAGGACTCCAAAGCTACAGAGAAACCTCCCCCCGCCCCCAAAAAAAAGTGATAGCTGGGATGTGTGTGGAGGGGTGGTAGTGCATACCTTTAATCCCAGCACTTGGTAGGGCAAAACAGGCAAATCTCTGAAATTGAAGTCAGCCTAGTCTACAGATCAAGTTCCAGGACAGCCAAGGCTACACAGAGAAACCCTTTCTTGGAAAAACAAACAAGCAAGTGAGTGGCAACTGAAAAATGACCCTGGAGGCTGTTCTCTGACCTCCATACTGGCACATGTGTACCTCTGTATGTGAGACAGTCACTGCCTCAAAGGAAAAGGACACGAATAGTCTGCTTTCCTTTTTTTGTTTTGAGACAGGATCTACCAAGTACCCCTGGTTGTCCTGCCTCTGACTGCCAAGCTCTGGGATTCCTGGCCTTTTGGTTTTGATTTTGTTTCAGATTTTGAGAGCAGGCCTCACACTTACTCTCGGCATAGCGGTTATCCGTTGTATGAGAATGTATGAAGGAGGGGTCTGAATTTCACAAAGTATGTGTGGGGTCAGAGGAAACCTCGCAGGAGTTGGTTCTGTTTCCGCATGGACATCAAACTCAGGTCATCAGGTTGAGCAGAAGGTGCCTTTACCTGCTGAGCCATCTTGTTGGCCATCATGTATCCTTTTCTCCCTCATCAGAGTAAGAAACATGAACGTTCCTACTGTTCTGCCCAGAGCATCTAAGCTGTGAGATCTCAGAAGACAGAGACCATGTTTACTGACAGCAGCCTTCAGCACAATGCAGAGCTCGTGACATCTTGGTTTGGAAGAAGGTTTAAGGCCAAGATGGAGACCAAACACGTCTGGGTGTTTGATGCACGCTCCAGGCTGAGCACTCACCTTTACCAGCTCAAAGGGAAAGCGCTCATGAAAGATGCGATTGATTCGGGCCCCCCCAGACAGCTCCAGCGTATCCACTTGATCTCCAGAGCCCTCGATTCGCTTTTCAAAGTCCACTCCAAACTGCTGAACCATCCTTCAAGAAAAGAAAAAGCAAAAGGTCAAGATGGAAGTTTCTGCACAGCCCTGCAATTACATGAGTCGTGTAGCAGACTGCTTCTTAAGTTACATGTATTATTGGGGGGAGGCATGCCACAGTGTATGAGCAGAAGCAGTCAGTACTCTGCTTCTACCATGTGAGTCTAGGGGATAGATGTCAGGGCATCAGTTTTGGCAGCAAGCATGTTTACCCCCCCCCCCCCCAGCCAACCTGTCAGTCTTGTGGCTAATTTTCTTGTCTTTCATGCTTTGTTGTTTCTGAATACAAGATCTTGCTGTGTAAACCCAGCTGGCCTTGAATTAAAGACTTTCCTGCCTAAACCTCTAAAGTGCTAGTATTATAGGTGTATGTATGCCACCATGTTCGGCTATTTTTTTTTTTTTTTTTTTTTTTTTTTTTTTTT